AAGCTTTGTAAGTTGAAAACCACGTCGTTAAGGTAAAAACCACAGTTGACCAAGTCAACACCGTACACGGGTGGTTTTCACCAAAAGACAAAACCGAAATGTGGTTTTCATGATGTTTTGATTGGAGAACCATTTAAATGCATTCAAAAACAATTCCCACAAAAAAAGACTCGAAAACCACTTCATTTAAGTGAAAACCATGGCTAGCCAAGTTTATGCCATTTCGCGTGGTTTTTATCAAACGACAAAAAACGAAAGGTGGTTTTTGAAGTGTTTTTGATGGAAAACTATTTAAATGTGCCCAGAAGTAAAAACCAATCATAAAAAGTTGAAAACCACTTGGTTAATTCGGACGCCAAGAACCAACGACGAAAACCGAATGCCGAACGCCGGTTTCTGAAACCCGAACACCGGATGGCTTGATTTTTGGTTTGGGCGAACACCAAGTGTTTTTAATGTTTTAAACATGTTTGAAAAACATTTTTATGATGTGTGAAATGCAATGAAAAGAATTTTAGCCTAAAGAGCCAAGGTGTAAAGGTTGGGTCGGTCTTGATCACAATTATGACCGACTCAACAACACTAAGACTACAGTCTTCGTTCTTGGTCTTCTTTTGGGTCTTGTTATCTTGCTTTCTTCTTATATTTATTTCCCGCCTTGTATATTCAACAACTTGTCTCGTTCACGGCGGTTTGGCATTATCAAAACCTGTCATAAAAACGAACACGGCTTTAGTACGAAAACACGATAAACCCGTGTTTCAACAATTTCCCCCTTTTTGATAATGGAAAACAAGACGGGGTTATGCATAGGAGGATTGATTTGAGACTTGAAAAGTGTTCCCCCAGGTGTTCCCCCTTAATAAATGCAATTTTCTTTTCAACAAAATTTATGTGTTGAATAAGAGTTAGTTTTAGAAAAAGTTCCCCCTCAATCTATGCATAACCTTTATATCTTTCCCCTTTTGACATTAACAAAAAGAATTAAAAGTAAACTTTTATTCATTAAAAGGAAAATGCAGAATACAACGGATAAAAATACAATCATATTTAATAAGTAGAGAATAAAGAAGATGTCGTGGCATCGGTGTTGGCCTTCTTCTTTGAAGCCTCGGTTTTGGTCCTTGAGTTTCCTCTGGCCATTGTTGAAGCGTTTAGAAAGTGAGTAGAAAACAAGGCTGCCTTCCCAGCGATGGTAGAGCTCACCCATCGATGGGAAGGTGGCTACTGGAAATCCGAGAAGACGCTTAAAAAAATAATGTCAAACACCCAGCGATGGGAGAAAGTTTCCATCGATGGGTGGGGAGGTTCTGAAAAAAGTTTTGAAACTGAAATCATTCACCCAGCAATGGGATAAAAGACCCATCGATGGGTAGGGTGTTTCTTGAAAAAAAAATTTCGACAAAAGTCCTTCACCCATCGATGGGTAAGGTATTTCTGGAAATCCGTTAAAAGGTTTTTAAAAAATAGAGTCAATTACCCATCGATGGGAAGAGGGGTTCTGAAAAAAAGAAAACTTCCCTCCCAGCGATGGTATTGCCCACACATCGCAGGTTCCCCCTGATTTCCAGAATTCTTCACTTTGAACCGTCCCTGCAAAAAAAATAACACTTTGGTACCCAAAGTATGTCTATGGGTCCTTGGGGGTTAGTTGACCTTTATTGCCCACACACACCCAAAATTCACACGCACACACACACAATTAAATGATTGTTTAGGAGTTACCTTGGCCAACCCATTGTCTAGTGGTTGGCGGGTTCCAGTCTACCTGAACGGAGTGCCGATGTCTCGGTGTGGTCTGTGTTGGTTCCGGTAACGGAATGTGGACTTTCTTATTTTCGTCAAAGTAGAAGAAATAATACGGTTTCTTTTGTGCACTATCCTGTGGAGATTGTTTATGATACGAATATCTTTTTCTAAAGGATTTCTTTTCGTTAGCACCAAAAATGTTGTGTGCTTCATTATAGGTGGAGTGCCTATGTTTGGTAAAACACACGGGAGCTATATGTCCTACCCTGTTGCAGTAATGGCATACTACGTTTGGGTTGAGCATGTGCCTAGGTTGATAATAGTTGCTAGAGGGCCTAACCATATTCATCCTATTTTGGAAAAATATTGGTTTTTGAAAACTCTCTCTTCTAGGTGTTCTAGCATTATTTTGTCTATTTGAAAAATTAATTTTATGCACAAAATCATTTTGATAATTTTTCCTAGGTTGTCTAACATGTACATTTTCATTCCTAGGTTTTTGTCTAGGTTGTCTAGTGTCCTTAGGTTGACTAGA